CAAGTTGGGGAATTAGTTTTCCAAATCTGAACAAGTCTGGTAATTTTTATGGGATTAACCCTATTATCAAAATGCAAAATACGGACGTTGCAATTTATCACGAGGAGTTGACGAGCACGTGGCCATAAGGTCAAGGGAAAGTCAAACGCTGGGAGGTGGGAGTCAATCGTGTGCATTGCGACGTCTGGAGATAAGGTATACCGTACACGTGTCGCTAACTTGTGGCTTCCTATGTAACTCAATATGAATCTTATTCCGTACCTGCGTAGGAATTATTCGACCAATCGTATCACGGTATCTGATTTCATCAGATTTTATATTTATTTAAAAACTTAAATTTAATGGGCTGAAGTTTACCATTAAGGCCCAATATAAAGCGATTGAGCCCACGGATTTTGGGCAGTGGTCTTTTGGAGATGTTCCGAAATTTGAATCCGCGAACCCGAACCCTAGCCTTAGGCTCGATTTTCCCTCTCAAAACAAAATTCCCGATCCGTTGAAATGTCGAGAAGAAAATCGGTGGTTGCAACCCCGGAACCAACTACGGCCCTTCTCCGTAGATCTGCGAGGCTTAGCTTCTTGAAGAATCGTGATGATTTCCAGAAACCCGGAAAAGGTCGGTTATTGGGTTCGGATTCGGATTCGAATTCTGCAGCGGATCCAATTGAGGGCGAAGAAGCTGCGAAGAAGAAGAACCATCGGGATATCGTTAGTGAAGTAGCGATGAGGTTAGTATATCCATTGGTTGGTTCAAGTTTTGGTGCTAATTCGAAGAAATCTCGGGAATCGAATGGTTCGAGGGATGTGTTTTGTTCGTTAAGGCGATCTCCTAGGTTTTCAAGCAGGGGATGCTCCAATGCCGAAGGAGAGAAATCTACTCAATGTAGCTCCAGTAAGCCTTCGTCTGCTTCATTATCTCGCAGGAATCCGGTTACTGCGTCAAGGGCATCTCATGGATTGAACAGTTCCAACAAGGGTTCTTGTACGCTGAGACGATCACCCGTATTTTCGAATGGGGGAGATTCTTGGGGTCAATCTTCTTTGGACGGGAAGGATTTGGCTATAAATGTTTGTGCCAGATGTACTACAAAATCTGAAGAAGGGATCGGTGATGGTTCTTATACACTGAGACGGTCACCCAGATTTTCTAGTGGAGGAGGTTCTGTGGGTCAATCTTCTTCGGACAGGAAGAAGTTGGGCAAAAGTGTTTTAGCTAGATGTAATAAGAAATCTGAAGAAGGGAAAGGTAAACACGTCCCCGATTCAAGCCACAAAATTTGCACGAGAAGGAGAAGTTGTATACGTTCACAGACTAAGCAGATACTTGGAGCTTGTGATGAAGGGATAGCGAGTGTTTGCCCACGCGAAAATAAAAGGAGGAAAAGCACAGTGAGTGCTCAACCAAATGGATACTGCAGAGAGGAAAAAAATGCTATGAGTAACTTGACCTTCGATTCGACTGGAGAGTTTACAGGTGAGAAGAAACGGGAGATAGTTTTAGGTTTACATTCACGGACGAGCTTAGCATCTGATAGAGGCACTGTTAGGTCTTTGGTAAAAGCTGATGAAGAACAGAGGACAAAAAGTGACATAATTGATAGTAGATTAGAAGAGGATAGACTGAAGATGATGAACAACAAACTTGATGGAGAAAGTAATTGTGGGCCTGTTCAAGGGTGGGCAAAGGAGCAAGAATTGGCTTTGCAGAAAGCTTATTTTACAGCCAAGCCTAGCCCTAACTTCTGGAAGAAGGTTTCGAAACTGGTATTTTTTTCTCCCACTTTTTTTCTTTTACTAATTTGTTGTTCACTATTGTTTTCCATGCATTCGGTAACCTTTGTTTTTGGGTGGTTCATCTTGATGCTTATGTAAGGATTTAGCTGAATGGCTTTCTTTTCATTCATGAACAACTTATGCAGACCAAATTACCTATGGGTTTCCGAATGTTACTGAGGTTCAAGAATCTAGCTAGTAAGTTTTGTGTTTCGTTTGTTTACGAGCATGAACGATGGTAAAAATGCATTAGGGGTTATTGTTGGTGAATGGACTTTGTATAAGACTCGTGCTATGAACATCAGCATTGTCATCTTAGTATCAAGGGTTATTTGCCTGTTTGTATGTGTTTTATCTGATGTTGCATCCAATTACTTAAATCTATTCTAAACTGGATTCTACAAATGTTTCTGTATCAGGTACCTGGAAAATCTGCGCAGGAATGTTTTGATAGAGTGCACTCGGACCTTATCACCCCTCGTCAACCTCAGCCTCGTTCAAGAGCCAAGAAAGTGAACTTGTCACCAATTCCACAATTTTCGCTTTCTGCAAGCAAACTGCTGAAACCTACCAGACCAAAGTCTAAAATGTCGGGTCAACGCAATCGACGCAGAAACCATTTCGCAAAGAAAACTATCAGACATTTGCTGGAGAAGCAATGTCATGTGGATCAAGGACATGGGTTGGATCTGTTTTCGGTCCTCGAGCGCAGCACTGAAAGCTACGTGCTTTCAACTCCTTCCGACAAAAGGGGAAGCCTTCGGAAAATCCTAGAGAGATCATCTTCTGCACAGAAGAAACCGTGTTCAAGATTCACAACTACTCTGACCAGTCCCCCAGTGCTAAAGCAGATAAAAAACAAGGCACAGCACGAGAAATACATAGATCAGTTGCATCTAAGGGAAGCTAAGAGGAAAGCCGAGTCTGCTAAGGGTTGCGGTAAAGAGAATATCAAACCTAATGATGTTCAGAAGTCGGTGAGAGCGGTCAAAGACGCCCTCATCTTAGACGTGAAAGATGCGATCGAAAAGCTTAAAGGTGTAGAAGCTGATTGTTCATCCAGTTCTTCAGAATTCGGATACGACCGTGATGAAGAAGAAGATGAAGCAACGGGACTGTAACCAAGATTATTATGATAGTATGGTGAGAATTGCAACCATCTTGTTGCATTAAGGAATTGTTCCGTGTAGATACATTCCTTGGGAATTGAGAGTAGAGACACCAAACCATGTAGAGTATTTCACTTAATTCAGACAAACGATCCTTGATTTGGATGGATTTTGGTTGCAAATTGCAATTCAATGTCTGATAATATTGAGTAAAGTAAGTCAGACATTAACAAATACTAAATAAATAAAATGTTTATACGAAGACACCATTGATTACAGAAAGTGTAGACGAAAAAATATTATTCGTGATTTGAGGGAAGACAAGTAAACAAGTTTTTGTGGAGTAGGTGTCATGTTTTAATTAATTATATATATAAACACATTTATTATTTTTAAAATGGGCGTTTTTTTAGTGACTGTCATATTACCATAATTTTGTTTGGTTATTTGGCATATATTATTTGTATTTTCAGAATGCCGGTTGGTCGAATATTGAAAATACACGTGGGACCGTATATAACCACAAAAACAAGCAGACACTGAAGCCCAACCACTCCATTTTTATTACATCATTATTTCGATTGACAGTAACTTTAGAAATCGTTGTTTTGATGATAAATAAAAAATAATCGAAAAGTTTTGTTCGCGTAAATAAATATTACATATTTTAATTCCACATAGAAAAAATTAATAGCATACTGCGATTACAATAGATACAGACGAGTACATGTCTCCATTAAAGTTTATCCCCTTGTTTCTCTTTTTCTTTTTATAGATTAGCTTTTTTTTTTTTGTGTGGAGCAGTTGGAATCGGAATAGCTATTAATTAAATAAATTAAATGAAAAAACAGAATCAGAATATGTAAGAAACGAATATATGCACTTTTTCATATTCTTACTTTTAAAAAATTTTCACGGAAAGAAGATAATAAAGTCAAAGAGTTGTAATGTTTATACAGATAAATACTCCATCCCTTTAAATAGTTATTGTTTTAGGTTATTTCACATTTTTTAAGAAAAGATAGAAAAAGTCACATATATTCTTATTTAATAATAAAAATAATATTATCATTAATAATTTATTAGAATTTAATAGGGATAAGATTGGAAACTATTGTAAAAAATGTCTTGAAAATGTAGAATGACAAATATTTTGAAACATGGAAAATAACCTAAAAC